CCTCACCACCAGCGCTGGTCGTCGCGAGCTTTTCTGGGGGGAGGAGGGGCTGGAGGGTCTGGAGCAGTGGAGAGGTTGGAAATGTAGGCGACGGTTGAGGCTGGAGGGGCTGGAGAGCTGGAGGGCTGGAGAGGCTGGAGGCGCTGGAGGGAATCCTCACCTTCTCACCGCGTCGTCGTCGGCGTCGTCGCTGCATCGTCGCCGCGTCGACCTCGCTTGGCCTGGTCTGGGCCGTTGCAGACCTCACTGCAAAGACTTTGACAGGGTCTCGCTGCAGCCTCAGGCCCTCACAGGCTCTGCAACGACGACCTGAGCTACATCGATTTTGTTTTTTTTGCTCGAGTCCGCATGCTCAACACCCTTTCGAATTTTGAATCAGCTCCTTGGTGCGATCTACAGCACAAAGAAGGATTGGCTCGGTTGCGCGGCGGGGGTCAGGGTCAAGTTCGGAAATTCTCCGAAACGAGGTCGAAATGGTCCGAAAGGGCGAAACTGCGGGAACGGGTCCGAAACGGGGTCGAAATAAATGGAGTCGAAATGGTCCGAAATGGATCGAAATGGGCGAACATGGGTCTGATATCGGTCCGATATGGGTCCCAAATGGGTGCGAAAAGGGGGTCGCAAATGGATCCGAAATGGGTTCGAAATGGGGGTCGAAATTTGACGCTGTCTTTAGAGTGATTCCAGCTTTCTCGTGGATTTTTTTTCGGCCGCTTGCACTTTTCGCCGTGCATCGTGTGAGGGTTCGGCAGTGTTGTTTGCTTAGGGCAGGTAGGCCTGGCGTACCGAGGCTCAAGGAGGTCTTCATCATTGATGCCCAACTTTCAACTCAGCAAGTTCGCTGTGTGTGTTGGTGAAGAAAACATGTGCAATGCGTTTAGTTGTAACATCACACATAAGACAGCAAGCCATGGCAATGGCTGGTGAGTGGCCACGAATATGTCCAAGAGGTGGCTCGATGTGGAGCGACAGGAGCTCACTTCCTGGACGTCTGTCTGGAAATGACTACGAAGAATATATCCGCGAGTTGCTGACCGGCTCACGCAACGATCAAGGTGACAAGCAACGAGAGCTGCAGCAGTTGAAGTGCGAAGCAGTTGCGAATGCAAAAAATCATACTGGGGAGAAACTCTGGAATCGATTGTTCGGGACGATTGAAAGCAATGACAGACAAACCGGCGAAGCATCAGTGGACATTGTGATGGCCGAGGGCAAGGATGTGTTGCAGTGTCTAGGAGCGGGCGCGGAGATGTTGTTGGGAGAGCCAACTCTCCCAACTGGTACGGTTGTGGAAGTCACAGTCCAAGGACCGTTGTTCTACGTGAAGTGTTTTCAACTTGAAAAGTATCTGACGATCTGCGCGTTGCAGACGCCACCGACAGTGCCACCTGCCGCCGTGCTTGTGATCAACCGCAAACCAATTGAGTGCCGTGAGGACTGGATGAAGGCCGTCAAAAAGTTCCCTAGACTTCAGACCTTGGCACAGCAGGGCAACTTCAGGACTGTCTATTGCCCACACTCGGTTCACCATGCGCAGTACCGCCAAAAGATTGACGAAAAGGACGAAATCATTGCCCAAAAGGATGCCAAAGTCTGGCTTCTCAGTGTTCT